AGGGGTCCTATTCCTCCCTGGGCCTTCGTTTTAGTCCCTATATATCTAAAAAACAATTTCTTGTTGTCTTTTACTTGGGTTGCCATCCTCAGCTCCATGGTAGCTTTGGCCCGTCTAACTGCCTCCCTACAAGCACGAGCAGAGGAGGTATATTCGTCTTTGGTGATCTCTCCCTGTTTCCACTTTTTGTGTGCTCCCCTTTTGGCCCTTAGGCTGCCCTGGATTTCTGCGGTCAGGGAAGCCTCCTGGCCCCTTTCCCTCTTTTACCTCGCATGGGGATCGTCTCGCTTTGTGCCCGAAGGATCGTTTCCTTAAGGCACAGCCACCCTTCTTGGGCTCCCATCACTTCAAAACTCCTACTCTGCAGTGCGTCCTTGACCAATCGCCTGAGTTCATTGAGATCAGCTTTCCTAAAGTCTAGCACTTTCACCCTACTAGTTACCTTACCCACTCGACGTCTTATGGTGAATTCTATTATTAGGTGATCACTGTCCCCCAGATGGCTACCGATCTGTAGGTCCCCTACCATGTCATCCCCCGTTGCCAATACCAGATCCAGTATGGCATTCCCCCTAGTGGGACCGTGTACCTCCTGCGTCACGTGGAGGTCCTGTACACAGGTTAGAAACCTGCGTGAGTGGTGGGACTTTGCTGTCTGTGTCTCCCAGCAGATGTCTGGGTAGTTTAGGTCCCCCATGACTACTGCCTCTTTAGCTTTTATGATCTCCGAGAGCTGCCTCAGGAGCCCCGAATCTATTTCTTCCCCTTGATGTGGGGGTCTGTAGCAGACCCCTACCACCAAATCCCTTTCTCCTTGCCCCCCATGTAGCCTAACCCACAATCCTTCTACTTCCTCATCCTTGGATTCCGTCTTGATGAGGGTCGATGTATATTGCTCATTCACATAGAGCGCAACCCCTCCCCCCTTTTTCCCCACCCTTTCACCAACTCCTTTTGCACTACTCTGGCTGCTCACTGGGAGCCATGATTTGACCTGCAGACTTTAAAACTGCTCTAAAACAGCAGTTCGGGATCCCCTTGTAGAAAGGAATTGCCTTTTGTTTTTCTGGCAACCTTTGTTAGCCCCTCTCTCACAGGGAGTATGCCAGGGTAGGAACGGCACTCTGGATATTCTGGATCAATAGAGCTACCCCTAGTTCAGCCTTTTTAATGGGTATGAGGCCATGCCTAAGATGGCTGTAGCTTAGGTTGGGGGCTGACTGCTTGCAGGCGGGGGGAGGGTGTCAGGAGGATACGGGAGACCAGATAGCCAAGGGGCACCCAAGGTTCTGCCCCCTGGATCAGGAATAGATTTCATAGAAGTCTATGCAGTTTCCTTGCTGGCATCTGTCTGCGTTGTCAAGATCCAGTCTACACACTATCTGTGTACAATTCTGCACTGGCGCTACCATGAGCCCCTGCCTGCTCTCTCCAGCTTAGCGCATGCCAAAGCCCAGATATTAGGCAGCATAGCTGATTTAGCATGGCTCTGAGTACATGGCAAAAACCCATGTCTGAGACAGAACCTGAGAATGGCTCTGGGCACATGCTCAGGACTGTGCTGACCTTACTACACTGCTTCATTTCCACATTTTGGCAGGAATAAGTGGAGGATATGTACTTTGCAGCAGTTAAGTCAGGGATCCCCAGAAAAGCAGCAGAGAGGCTTGCGATCTTTTTGCCATCTTGGAGGTCAGAGGTCACATCTGCCCAAAACAAGAAGGGATCACATTGTCTCACCTTTCATTGAGGCCCATAAGAGATTTGACTAATTGCTGCACATAGGCATTTTCATTCATCTTGCTGAGTTCGCTGTGAAATAGTCCATCTGCATGCCTCTGAGTCCTGGGGGTTTAAAAAAGAAATAAAGTTGGGGGCCAAGCCATGTTTTGCAGGGGAAGGGTATCTGAACCTGCCTCCTCAGGAGATAGGGGAAGCTGAGAGATGGGACCATAGACAAACATGAAGAGATACCAGGGTCTCCTTGGTCCAAAATAGGAAACAAGAGAATAACAAGTAGTGATGGACAAGAAGGGGTTAAAATAAGAGAAAAGTCAAGTAAATCATCAAAAGTTTAAAAGAATCAGAGAGTAAAAGCACCTTGTACCTCTGTCTAAGCTAGGTTTGCCTTAGGTCACCCACCTCAATGGTATCCAAACTCCTTCCTGCACCTTCCTCAGTTCTCTGTATAGATGGATTCAGGTCCTCAGGCAGTCTCTCATGAACCAAGTTTCACTGACTTTGAGTGGAGCTATATCCATTTACATCACCTTGAGATTTTGCTGATATGGAGTGTGATCCTGCTTACTACTGAGCATAACGTTTTCTCTTTTGTGTAGTTCCATTGTCTTCCATTGACTTTTCACTTGTAATAGGCATTATGCTTGTGCAGATTTGCTGAGGCAGGAATGTCTAGTGGTTAGACATAAGCCTGGCATAAGGGAGGCCTGGGTTAAGCTCCTTGCTCTGCCTAAGACTTCCTATATGACACTGGGTGAGTCAACCTCTTTGGTTTCCTCAATACCACAGCTACGGTGCTCTTGAGAGCACAGTGGAGAAGCACAGCTCCACCAACCTGTGTGGGGCAAACCTGGAAGTAAGGCGGTAAAGGGCAATTCCTAGCACTGCTCTCAAGCACATTAATCAGAGAGTTCCCCACCTGTAATATGGGGATGCTATTGCCTTTCAGGGGTGTATGAAGCCTGTTAAAGTTTGTGAGATGCTTTGGTAATAGGGATGCATATCTGGACAACCCTAACAGGGATGGCATTTGCAGGTCCAGGCTATTAAGTGCCTCTTTTGAAACAGAAGCCTCTTTTCTACTCGTCTCCAAAGTACACGGACATTGTGGAAATCATGCTTGGTTTACCAATGCTTTAGCATATGCTGGTGTGCTTCTGTAAGGTAACTGTGTGTCATCCCATGCTTTCAGGCTGTGTGCTCTTGTCGGCCACCTATAAGCAGAGGAACAGCAGTGCAGCTTGGAAGTGCGGTGTGTGTATCCTATTTGAACCCAGGTCAAAACCTAAGACAATCAGGACCGCCTCAAATGAGACATCTGTTTGCAGCCCTAGTGGAATACAATCACCATGCAGAAAAGCAGACATGTCCTTGTTCCTAGAATGGAGGTATTTACATGCCCAAAGTGGGTAGTGGAGCCACTCCTACACTTTATTCAGATAACTCATGGTTAGTCACAGGCTTCACTTTGGTCATCCATAAGGTAAAATAGAATTCTGTGCATTGACTGTCACTGCTCAGCTTATGGTATCATTGCCCCCAGCAGCTATATATGGAGTCATATTGATTTTCTCCTGCTAAGAAGCAGGCCCCCATGTGTTTTGACAGCCATTTGCTGTTTTGCTTGATGAGCTGTAAAAAGAGTTAATTTAGATATACCCTCAACAGTGCACTTGACTCCTTTTGGGTGGGGTGCTTACACTGTAGAAGTGTTGAGTGAATATTCAGTATGCTAGAAACAGCCCTCTCTTTGTAACTGTTCCCATATATCTTGAGGACAGCATGCACTCAGTTATTTTGAGGGCAGGTTTTTGTCTTTCGATGAATAAAGCCTGAGAAACAAAACAATGCACTGGAGTAGCATATTCAGTCTAAGTGCTACAGCCTATGTCTGATGCCCTGTGCAAAGCAGGTTATTACCCATCTTTACAGTATCGCTTTAAAGATAGGACAATATTTTGTTGAAGTGCTTTTGCATTTTCCATACAGTTTGTTAGACAGGGGCAAAGATCGGGGCATAACTGATCTGTCGTTATTTTATACATGTGGGAACATACTGCCTTTGTATGACCCTGAGGTCAGTGGGGCTTTTGCCATTGATCTCCACAGGAATAATATCTTGTTTGTCCTGGGGATAGCTGTGGTAAACGAAGGTTTTCCATATGGGCCTTTGTCCATTGGGACTGAGTTGGGAGCCTGGGATTGAAACAGGTGGGGTGAGTGGGGCACCTATCCCAGATGCCAACTATGAAGAGACACCAAAATTGCTCCTTCTTCCCACCCCATAGAAGCTGGGTAGCCCTGGGCTCTGTAGTGTATAAGGCTGTAGCAGGACTGCTGAAGCTGAGGGGCAGGCTTTCTGCACACTGGCTGCCCCAGCCCCATGGTACAGGCTCCCCAGCAGCTGTTCCTGGTAGGTAGTTCACTCCCCATCTCCCACCCAGGATCCTCTCCTGGATTCAGAGCTGTGCATCCCATGGCAGGCCCTGGGGAGGTGTGTCTTTCAGATTCTACCTCTCCCTCCCATGCAGTATGGGATACAGGATGCCCAGCTTCTATAGCTAGGGGGGCAGGGGCATTGTGGTGCCCCCTGTTTAGCCTGCTCCTCAGCTGCAGGAGCATGAGCACATGCACTACAGCCCCAGGAGCTGCTTCCAGAGTGCAGAGTGTGGTGGAAGATGAATCTTTGCCCTTCACCCCTTGCTCTCCAATGGTCGGCACCCGCCCCAGGCGCTGCAGGAGTTCACCACGCCTCTGAACTGAAATGCCTGACAATGAAGCTTCACATGGATTCCTTCCAAATACCCATGGTCATCTGGCCTGTTATCTGCATTATAACAGGAACTTCCTACTGAAATGAACTGGTGGAAGCAAGAGTGAGTCTCCCACACCACTTTGATCAGACTCCTATGGTAATGTGTCTTAGTGAAGGTGTTGTGTTTTTTTTTCTCAGAGTAACTCTGCTGGTCCTCAGTTCTGTTACAGATGTGCCCATGTCACTGGAAGCCATTTTGTAAATGTGGCACCTGCCAATAAACAGATCCTGACTCTCCATGGCCGTGCCCTTTGTGCCATTGCTTCCATTCTCTTCGAAGCTATGTAACACATTACTACACTGGGGTGAGGGAAATTCTGATGGGGTAACATTGCAAACTCATGCCATGAACCCAACACAGAGGCATACCAGCCAGGGTCTGGTACTAGTAGCCACTGGATCAGCTGGATCAGCTGCAGGACCAGCTGCCAATCTTGTGCCCCTTCTAAATGGGCACCTGGCATGGGTGCCCTGGTCACCTGCCCCTTGTCACACTACTGACCCAACATACCCCTGGATGCTTATTTTTGTGGTTAAAGACAATGAGCTGTTGAAATCAGTGGTATTGCACCAGCAAAGCTTTTGTCCTAGAACTCAAACACAGTCTCAAATAAAAGTCTGTTCTTAAGAACGGCCTCATTCCAGTAACCTCTTTGCCATTCAGAGTGAAGCTCCATGACAAGTATGAGAGGACATTAGAAAGGACTGGATGGCTTTAGGAGAATGAGAATCCATAAACTCTAGCTTTGCCCACATGCTTGCACCAGTCTAGCTAATGGTATGTTGTAAACCAACTAATTCACAGGGGTACAAACTTGCATGCTGAAGAGCACCTTGATTCAGTTTAGCTTAACACAGTTTTACAGAAGTAGGCTAAATCAAAGCATGCCTCTCCTAAGCTGAAATAAGTGTCTACACACACTCGTATTCTGGTTTAAATAAATTAATTTAGTTAGCCAACCAAATAAGTGCATCACTTTGGGTAGGTAAGTCCATTGTTTTCTAGTGAGCAGCTCCTTAAAAGACAAAGCTCTAGAGAGAAAGGGGAAATGGATTAGCAGAAAGGCTCTTACCTCTCCAGAAGAGGAAGTGATGCTGTGAGTTGAGACAAGACAATCACAAGAACAATAAGCTGCCCAAACCCAGTGAGGAGGGAGGCCATGATGACTCCTGAAATGAAGGACTCAACTTTACAAGCAGTTAAACAAATTCTTACCCTTTATGCTCATGGCACAGTTTACCCGCTACACATAAACTACTGCTACATAAATAATACCATTAGAATTAAGCAAGGCAGGAATACTTGTCAACAACGAGCATTTGTATTAAATGTAAAAGATGAACAGACCCAACCAGTTTGCCACTAAATGACAAATTATTCGCATTGCTTATCCCCCAGTGAGAATGAATTTGATGAGACCTCCATGAAATTACAGTTCTGATGTATTATATGGTGAGTCAGTATAATATACAATGAATATGCTGAAAACCATCCTGGCAGATAATACATCTGTAACATAAAGCAGTGGAGCAAACTCCATTCTATTTTAACTCTGTTGAAGTCAATACTCCAGGGAGTATTTTGGCTATAAATACATAAATGAAAGGATTAAAAGCACGCCCAATCAATGGCACAAAAACTGAACACACACAGCTACTAATATACCCTTAAGAAAGACAAGGGAGGTCTAATTTTTCAAACTGGCAGGCAAAAGCATGTGTATGCAACACTACCCCTTCATCTACACAACATGGGGGCCTTGAATATATAGCTCTAGGTTTGGTCAGCACCCGCACTGAAAAATCAAACACATCTTTGGTTGAGAGATCCTTCACTTCCAAACTTTTCTGTTTTCAGTTTGTCAAGAAAAAAAATGGCAACATTTCCTTTGGTTCAACACCAAACATTCCTCCAGATTTGAAACCAAAGTGTTTTATTATCAGCTGCTTGTAAAAAAAAAATATATATATATATAAATAAACTGCTGCTGTCAACTTCCCCTTTGGTCAAATAGTGTGGGGCACTCAACCAGAATGTGGGAAAGCCAGATGCAGCTCCTTCCTGCACCCATAAGAATTTGAATCTACGTGGTGCTTAGTGAATGCTTTAATTACTCTAGGTGGAGAAGAGGCTCTGTGTCTTTCCTGTTGTAATTGATCCACTTCAGATAAAATGCTAAGGGCCTTGGCGCATGTTCAGTTTTTGCCGTTCCAAATTTGTGGAATTTTGTGCTGCAGCAAAGTTGGGATGCAACAGGAGCGGATACACATTCAAGTCTGAGCATGCCATGCTCACGATCCATCACTAGAGGGACACTGAGCAGATATTCCAGCCTGCCTTGTGGTCCTGAGTCCAGAGAACAACACGCAGGGAAGTGCAAATTGCTGCCCTTGGCTCATGGGAAAGCTGAGGTTTTGGGGGACTGGCAGAAGACAAAGAGCATGGATATCCTTCTAGCTGGATGCTTAGGGCACTCTGCTAGGAGGTGGGTTTAACAGGCTTCCAGTTCTTCCTTGGTGAATGTAATTATTTACACAAAGTAGAACAGTCTCCATAGGAAAGACTGAGAGTATGCCCAGTCTCCCTGTACTTCTGAACATCTCTCATGGCACATTATTGCCTGGTGGTTGGGATGCTTTTCTGAAAAGTATGCGCTGAAATCTCCTCCAGCGGAAGAACTGACCCTGGACAAGCGCACTAACCCTTGAGATACTGAGATACCATATTCTTGACCTTGAATGACTCAAGTGTAGTTAGTTAGTGAAGGATTGTCCCTTGCTCTGAAAGTAGGCTGAACCCTGCGAGAGTCTCCAAATGTCTCCAAATGCGAGGATCTCAGCTACACAATTTATGGTGATGGGGGATTGCTCTCGGGCTTTCCCTTTAGCTTGCTGCTTCCATCTTTTAGCTAGGGGCAAGCAGCAAGACTAGGGGCATTTGTAGACAACACTTTAAAGCAGGTTAAATGCCTTTTGCGACGTTTTAATGGCATTACTGTTTGTACAATAGGCGGTGTATTGCACGTTAATTCCAGCCGCTGTTGCACATTCAGTGGCGTAATGTGCCTTAAATGACTTTGGGATGCAGAAAATGACTTTGGGGTACTGCAAAGTAAAACACTTCTGAGGAGTTTTAGTTTCCTACCCTACCGCCATGGAGGGAAGCACCAGGCTTCGTGCAGGCAGGCCGTGCAGGCAGCCTAGCAGCAGCATGGGAAGGTAGGATGCATAGAAGGGGAAAAAAAAAAAGGCTGCAAGCCCAATCTTTCCTCCCAGTACCGAGCCTGCCTGCCTGCCTGAGCTATGCAGGGGCCTTGTGCTTCCCTTCATGGCTGTGGTGTCCCCTGGGACTGCTCGAGCTGGGTACCACGTGGGGGTGGGTGCCACCTGGGGGGGGGGGCTGCCACTGCCATGGAGAGAAGCACCAGCTTCCCCCCCTGCAACTCAGGGACCACCAGCAGCTCGTTCTCCTCTCCCCGCTGCTGGAGAGGGTTTTTTTAAAAACACTGCTTCAATTTAGGGAGAATTAAACCCCCAAGTCGTGTACAAACCCCCTAGGGGGCATCTGAACTCCAAGGTCTCTGGGCTTGGGGCTTGCATGTAGAATGCCTGCCATGGATTTGGGAGCATCTGAGCCCCAGGCTGATGAGTCTGGGAGGTAGGATACTTGCTGGTAGTAGTGCCAAACAGACTTGAATGATTGAACTCTGCTCAGTCAAAATTTGAAACTTAATTCGGAAGTGATTTTTGGAAATGAAATTTCATTAAAATATATAAATAACCCTTGAGATACTGGTTAAACAGAGGCTGCCACTTCCTTGCTGGATCTAAGCTAGAGGGGGAAAAAAAACTAATCATTTCAGAGTTCAACAATTCAGTAAATTTGACAGGAGTTATAGCATCATTGTGGGGGGGCAGGAATGGCATATTTTGGAAAATGTGTTTGATAGAAAAAATTGCTTGCTATCTGTATACATAAATTGTGTGTGTGTGTGTGTGTGTGTGTGTGTGTGTGTGTGTGTGTGTGTGTGTGTTGGGGGATGCCAAAAGGGATACTTTGCAATTCTTAACTTTTGCACAATGCTAATTCTTTTCAAGTTTCCAAGGGAAATCTTGTGTGGGATGTTTTCATATTTATTCTATGTTGGGGGGGTTGTGTATTTGTTTGTTTGTTTTCTAAAACTATACAAACCCTGACCTGTAATTGAAGCATGTAGTGTTTCTGGGATGGGAAGAAAGACATAGGATGGGTAGTCACAGAGTAACTAAAGATAACTCCTTCAGAAGGGAACTTCACAGAAAAACTATTGATATTATTTTAGTCAGTGTTGACTGAATGGAGAAGACAGAAAGCAGATGATGGCAACCTCTAGTTCTTGGTACACGAAAACGTCCTGGCAGTGAGTTCTGTCCGGTTTGGGTAGAGACATGCTGCCTTCTCTATGCCCCAGAATACCATGGAAGAAATACCTCTGCTTCACACAACTCTCTTGAAGGTCTCACATCCAGACTAGCAGACATCCAAGCAGCTCTTTTCCAAAACCAATGATTTTGTTACAGTTTACCTTGGTCAAGTGCCCACCTTTTGCATGGGGATGTAAAATTGTTTTACCTTGGCAATGGAAGCAGTGAGGCAATGGCCTTGCTTATGCCTCATCTTCATTTTATACAGTGCCCTGCTTCTGTTGCTGTCCCTATTCTGGGAGGCTGTATTTAGGAAGCCATTTTGTGGCACATAGCAACAACTTTTTTGAACCTCTTAGCTGCTTATAAATAGTGCTAGGATCACAGTAGCTGACATGCTACTGTATCTTTGTATCTTTGTGTGTGTGTGCTATATGTACCTTACATATCTTACATACATACCATATGTATGTATCATATATGCTACATGCATCTACTAGGTATATACTATATGTATCTTTTACCCAGAATCCTTGGAATATTCCCTAGTCTCTTTCTGGCAAATGTAGTAATCCAGACTTTAAAGTGATTCAAAAGAAAGGATGGTCCAGTGATTAGGATGTGGGAGAAAGGATGGAGTTTCTGTTCCATCACACTTTTACTTCTGGCCTGGGGCCAGTCACTTGGCCTCTCTATGCTTCTGCTTCCATCTGTAAAATGGGGGCACTATTTCCCTAGCTCTCAGGGGCATGTCAAAGACAAAATACATTTGACTGTGCACTGTTCACGTATTATAGTAGTGGCAGCCTTCTACATACCTAAAATCAATAGCATAAACAATTATGTAGGTCAAGGCTTATGATTTATGTGTGTTTTTTTGCTTGCAGAGGAGCAGGTCCTAAATCACTACCTAATACAAGTGTTTTCTTTCCCTCCCTAATCTCTTGTCTTAAACCTCTCAGAACTTCACTGTGTGGGAGAATGAATCTCAGCATTCCTCTCCAAAACTCAGGTCCCTACCACATTGCTACTCACGCTAGTATGTGGCTATATGGTAAGACAAAGCTTCTATTTGCATTATGTAAGTTTTCCTCCTCCGTTAGTTAAGCATGTTCCAGACATTTGAAGACTGTTTTGTGCTCTGAGCATCTTGCTGCTTAAAGAGGCAAATTGAAAGGATCAAGGGGTATGGGAACAAAGAGCAATGTGTATGCCATTTATACATAAAACAACTGGATTCCACAGAGCACAAGTTTAGGAGGAGATGGCAGGAGCCTTAAAAAGATAAGCCATGGGAGAGCAAATCACATGTAGGAAGCTGTGTAAAAGAGGAAGAGAAGTGTTTGTGGAAATACTGATAACCAGACAGGCAAAGCCGGTTAGCAGAATGGAGAGCTCTGCTGCTGGCAACAAACAGCTTGGCAAAGCTAGAGAAACAGAGGAAGGAAGACTAATGAAACATATAACATAATACTTCATTCAAGCACAAAGCCATAAAGTCAGTTATGGGCTTCATGCCCATAAGCATTTTTAATAACTGGCCATGAACCAAGCTACCACTTGTGAGTACATTCAGGCAGGAGGTTGGAAGAAGGATGTGGAAAAAGAACCACTAAAAAGAAAAATCCTACCATTACCAATGTATACTTTTTATTGAGAAGGGTGATTAAGTCAAGGGGGAAATTATCCCTGCATACACAACATATTCTAATGTTGTTTTCTTCATCTGACTTGACTTTTGAAGACAATCAGATTTTT